AAAAAAGGGTAAACGCTGACTTGATTTTGATTTTCAGTATGAATACAAACTGTGAAAGCATGGCCTATCGATCCTTTAGATCTTTCGAATTTGAAGCTAGAGGTGTCAGAAAAGTTACCACAGGGATAACTGGCTTGTGGCAGCCAAGCGTTCATAGCGACGTTGCTTTTTGATTCTTCGATGTCGGCTCTTCCTATCATTGTGTCGCAGAAGTCACCAAGTGTAGGATTGTTCACCCACTAACAGGGAACGTGAGCTGGGTTTAGACCGTCGTGAGACAGGTTAGTTTTACCCTACTGATGAACGGTTGTCGCGACAGTAATCTAACTTAGTACGAGAGGAACCGTTGGTTCAGATATTTGGTCATTGCGGTTAGCTGAACAGCTAGTGCCGCGAAGCTACCATCTGTAGGATTATGACTGAACGCCTCTAAGTCAGAATCCATGCTGGAAAGCGACGATATTCACCTCTCCCGATGTTACACGCATCACGATAGGCTTCGGCCGAGCATCATACTCCATCGCAATTTCGAATGTTGGGAGGGATAAATCCTTTGTAGACGACTTAAATATGGAACGGGGTATTGTAAGCATGAGAGTAGGCTTTGTCCTACGATCTGCTGAGATTCAGCCTCTTGTTCCGGCGATTTGTTAATGTGAAAGCAGACAGCGAGCTTCTGTGCGCCCTCTTCCGAGAGTCGAGCTGCACGTCGATCCATCTCTTTCGCGCTCCCCCCCAATCAACTCAAACACAAAACCAATACAGCTCCAATTGGAGCGAACCAACCCAACCCAAAAACGAAACCCGTGTCTTTTTGTGCGGGTTTCTCATCTGCGTCTCCCGACGCAACACTCTACTCCAGAAGACAAGACCTTTAAAACCAAGCCGCTTTCGTGCGGGTTTTATCTTCATAGTGATCGACTACTCGGACGACTACTACTACGACTCATCGACTCCCACCACTTCTCTGAAAACGCCCAAGTCCAAATCGTGCGGGTTTCTCGGCGACCATTGCCAAGTACTCCCAAGTACCCTGCACCGGACACTTTTGACGCCCGAATACGCCCGTTTCCTCGCGCCGTACAACGCCCCTCGCCGTCCGCCGCGCCTCGCCCCCGCTGAAACTCTCGCTGCTCGACCGACGCACAAACCCCCGCGCGCGCGCGCCCGTCGCCGCACCCATCCCGAATATCAAAGTTGAAGTTGAAGTTGAACCGACACCGACAAGAGCTCGAGCATGGCGCGCCTCCAGAAGCAACGCTGGGGCTGCCACACACGCTACGTCACGGGAGAGCACAAGACCATCACGCGAGGCTGGCTCCACGGCATCCAGGGGGTATCCCTGGCCGTCTGGATCGCGACCGCAGCACACAAACAACCAGCGCCCCTGCAATTCCTCTCCGGTAAATTCTTATCCTGCGCCGCGTCTGGCCGCGCGAGAAGCGCTGCCGCGCGATCCAGAGCGCGCTGCAGGTCTGCGTGCTCGCCGGCTGCGCCGTCGCCCAGGGCATGGCCTGCTTCCCGCAGCGCGCCTACGCGTGCCAGGTCGCCGTCTACGCCGTCGGCCTGCTGTCCTGGGTGCTCCAGGACGACGTCCCGCTCGCGTGGCACTCGCCGCGCCGCTGGTCCGGCCACGAGGACTTCCACCTCTGCGTCCTCGTCGGGGACCTGCTCAACCTCCACCTGCTCGCGCGGCACGGTAAGATTTAGCGGTCGGGCCAGTTGAAGCGCCGGCCCGCGAAGGCGTAGAGGAGCTCGTTGTGGGGCCCGAAGAAGCGCGCGAGGTCCGAGCGGAGCTTCTCGGGCATGGGCTGCGTGTAGGACGACTCGAGGCGCCAGCCCGAGTTCTCGAAGGACGGGAACTTCTCCTTGAGGCTCGCCTGCAGCGCGTCGGCGTCCTTGAGGAGCGCGGCGTCGAAGGCGTGCTGCGGGATGCCCGCGTGGTCCGCGAGGACGTCGAGCACGTCCTGGGGCTCGTGGCGCAGGTCGTCGGAGTCGAGGACGAGGAGCTGGTCCCGGGACACGCCGCTGCCGACGCAGCGGTGGAGCTGCGCGGCGTAGAGGCTCCGGTAGACGTACTGGTTCGAGATGCCCGTGCGGATCTGGACGCACTTGGTGATGTAGGCCGCGGCCTCGGCGCCCGTCGGCGGGAAGGGCGCGGGCCAGCGCGGGTAGTTGGTCCGCGCGCAGTCGGCGAGGTACTTGATCTCCGCGCGCATGATGCCGTCGAGGTCGCCGATGCGCTCGCGCGTGCCGTCGCTGAAGCACTCGCCCGCGTCGAACTTGACGTCGCTCGCGACCAGCGGCCGCTCGGGGCCGAACTTGTCCGTGCCGTCGAAGAAGACCCGCCGCGCGAGGTCCGCGGGGAACGGCTCGCCGTCGCCGCCGCTCCGCTTCTCGGCCCAGAAGCAGTCGCGGACCCAGCCCAGCAGCCCGTCGGCGCCCTGGGTCTGCGCGAGCCGCTTCTTGAGCTGGACGGAGACGGAGACGGAAAACTGCGGGAACTTGGGCTCCTCCGTGAGCGCGTCCGGCGAGCACGCGCGGAGGCCCCGCGTCGCGTTGCGCGGGCCGACGAGGAGCACGCAGCGCAGGACCGCCGCCGCGTGCTCGGCGAGGGCCCCGGCGAAGGCGTCCTGGCCCTCGACGCGCCGGTGCTTCATCTGGTACTCCGAGTACGCGCGCGCGACGGGCTCGCGGACGAGGGTCACGAGCGTCGTCCGCGGGCCGAGCTGCGACCGGATGCGGCCGCAGGAGTGGAGGTCCGCGACGTAGAACGGCGTCGCCTCCGCCGTGATCGCGGCGGCTCGCATCGGCGGGTACTGGAGCAGGTACGGCAGCGCGCCGAGGCACTGCGACTCGTTCTTGTCAAAGTAGTGCAGCTCCTTGACGCGGCTGAAGTCGACGCTCGGGTGGTGCATGAGGTGGCCCGCGAGGGCCGTGGACCCGCTCTTCTGCGCGCCGATGACGACGACGCTCGGGAAGCACCGCCACGCGCGCGCGGCGTCCTCGAGGCTCGTCTTCTCCGACTCCGCCGCGCGCCGCGCGACGCGCGTGAAGTGGCGCCGCCACTGGTCGCTCAGGAGCTCCACGGTCTTCTCCGTCGCGCGGCAGCACGCGCGCGGCGCCGCGGACCCGGGCCCGGGCTCCGCCTTGCACTCGAGGCCCTCGGCGGACGGCGCGCCGCCGCGCCACTCCAGGTTCCCGAAGCGCGGGCCCGTCTTCTTCGCGCCCGCCCGCGACTTGAGGTTGCAGACCGTCTCGTCGCCGGCGTCGACCACCGCTTTGCGCTTCCTGCGGCGCGGCTTGTCGCCGGCGACGCGCGTCGGGTTCTGCGCGTAGCGCTTCTCCGCGAAGCCCAGGCGCTGCCGGTCGACGCGATTCAGGTCGCCGTAGGTCGACGCGACCGCGAGCGCGACGAGCGGGAGCGAAGACCACCACATTTTATTGCTTTCCTACGCGCTTGGCGGGCTAGCCATCATCGCGCATTGACTCGGCCGAGAGGGTCAACATCGCCTCCTTGAATTCGGCGACTCTGGCCTTGCCGCAGGCATGAAGAGATGCTTTTTGGCTGTCCTCCGAGACGACGTCGACTTGATGACGATCAAAAGCCTCTAGCCGTCGCTCATCTTGACTAGCATCAACCACTGTAAAAAGAAATGGACGCCTGGCCACCCTCCTGCGCCGCAAAGCCGCCGGACTACGCCCTCGACGCCACGGACTACATGCAGCGCGTGCTGCTCGCTCACCACGGCAGCAAGATCGTCGTCCTAAAGAACGGCGCCCGAAAGCTCGGTCTGAAGTATGAGGACACGCTCCCAGCGTGGCTGCGCGACGCCGCGCGCCGCGAGACGACGGTGCTCGGCGCGCTCGGGAGCGCGCCGCCCGCCGCGGCCGAAGCGCACACGGCGCGGCTCGAGTACGACGACCGCGGCGTGCAGCGCGAGGTGCCCTCTGTGAGAAGCGCGTCCGCCGACGCGTCGCCCGACGGCTGGCGGAGCCTCGCCGCGAAGGCGGCCGCGGCGAAGGCCGTCGACGGCGACGTCTACGCGTGCGAGCTTCAGCGCCTGCGGCGGTGGCGGCGCGAGGGCCGCTGGACGCGGTCGATCGCGGAGCGGAGCCAGCGCGCGGTCTTCGGCGACGCGGCGCGCTGGACCCTGCGCTGGGACGACGAGAACGACGGCGTCTTCCTCGGCGCGCGCGGCGGCGGCAAGGGCCTGCACGTGGACCAGGTGCTCTGGAGCAACGTGGGCATCAACTGGACGGGCTACAAGCTCGTCGCGACCTGGGACGAGATGCCGTCCGACGCGCTCTCCGACGCGATCTTCGCGCCGCCGCTGACGGCCGAGAAGCGCGCCGCGCTCGAGCGGTGCGCGTGCGTCGCCCTGCTGGGGCCCGGCGACGCGTTCGCGTGCTCCGGCGGCGTGCCGCACGCGACGCTGGTCGTCGGCGACGAGCTCAACCTGACGAGCTACGAGTCGCTCGTGACGCTGGAGCCGTCGAACGTCGACCTGTTCCTCGCGACGCCGCGGCGCTCGGACCAGGTCATGGCCGCCGACGACTTCCGGGACCTGCTCGGGGCCTGCGTGTCGAACCTCGCGGCCATCGCGAAGCAGCCGCGGCTTCGGCCGACGACGGCCTTCCCCGTGCCGCGAGCGTCCATGGACGCCGTCGAGATCGTCCTCCGGGGGCTCTTCGTCGACGTCGTCCGAAGGCTCGAACGCGCGGACCCCTTCGACCCGGCCGCCGTCGCGCTCCCGCCGCGCGTGCTCCTGGCGGCGCGGCAGCTCGCCGACGACGAACCACCCTAACTATGCCGTTTTTATTATTGGGGCGGGACGCGTGCGAGCGTGCGCGCCGACCGCGGCGAGCGCGGTCGCCTCGGCCGCGTGGACGAGGTCCTCCGTCGTCAGCCAGAAGTCGCCCCAGACGCGAAAGGAGCGGATCGTCATCGCGCCGAGCACGGCGCCGAACAGGCAGAGGAGCCCGACCGCGCGCAGCGCGGCCGACCGGCGGCCGCGCCGCAGGCTCGTCGCGGCCGCGGCGACGGCCGCGACGACGAGCCAGAGCGCCGCGACGTCGTCGCCCGGCATGTCGCTCAAGTACGCGATGGCGCCGTGGGCCGCGACCATGGCCGGCGCCAGGAGCGCGCGACCTGCGGCGGGCGAACTTTACGGAGAAACCCCGCGGTGAGGATCTTTACGGAGACCGGCGAAACCCCGCCGACGCCGCTCGCGCGCCGGGCACGCCGTGGTGGAGCACGAGCGCGGGCGCGAAGGCGGGAATCTGCGCTGGGAAAGTCACGAAGGCGTCGCGCGGTCGACGACGCCGCGCGCCGCACGCCCGCGCGCCACGTGGCCGTCGTCGCGGAGCGGACGCGAGCGTACCACTCGCGGTCGCGCGGCGTGTCCACGTGCCTGCCGGCGTCGCATGATTTGCACGCGACGACGCGTCGACGCACGCACCAGCCGAAATAGACGACGGCGACGCTCGACGAGAACGCCGGGAAGCAGAGGCCGAGGCAGTAGAAGCAGGTGCTCGCGCTCCGGCTGCTGCGCAAGCGCACGATCGAGCACACGCAGGCGACTACGATCAGCGACTCGAAGAAGACGGACTGCGCGTCCTGCATGGCTGCGTTGCGAGCTAGCAGACCATCAGCTCGCAGCAGCGCGGCGCGTCGAGGGCTGCCATCCGGTTGGGAGAGAGCGTTTTTTAGCGCGACAGAAGCGAACCCGGATGAGGCTAGTCTGTTTATAGACACTTTTGCCTGTGACCCTTACACGAGCGACCATATCATTCGGAGAGCACCGCTTCCCGTCAGCTCAGCGAAGTTAAGCCGGATCGAGCTTGGTTAGTACTACGGTGGGTGACCACGTTGGAATCCCGAGTGTTGCTCGTTTTTTTTGCCTTTTTTGTGCCTCCAGACTCCTCCAAACTGACCTCCTGCTTTGCTCACCCAGAGTTTTCTGCTCTCCGTCGACTCTGAGTTCAACAAAATTGGTTAATCCAGACTCCTCCAAACTGACCTCCTGCTTCCCTCGACTGAGTTCAACAAAATTGGTTACCCCGCACCCTCTAGGACTGGTGTCGTCTGACGAGGTTCATGTGGTGCTGGAGCATGTCGACGTCCGAGGAGATCTCGGCGGCGCTGAGCTTCGTCGCGACGAGGAGGCCCTCGAGCTCGCGGACCTTGAGGTCGTGGTACTTGCGCGCCTCGTCCTCGGAGGACCGGAGCGCCGCGGCCTCGCGGTCGACGTCCTCGATGGCCTTCTTGAGGTCCTGGATCTGGACCTCGGAATCCTTCACGAGCTTGATCCACATGTCCTTGTGCTCCTTGAGCGTGGCCTTGGAGTTGTCGATCTCCGCGACGTAGCGCGCCTCGCGCGCCTCGCGCGTCATCGACTTCTCCTCGCGCTCGCGCGCGACGACCTGGGCCTCGGCGGCCTCCTTGGCGAGGCGCTTCTTCTCGGAGACGGCGCCCTTGCGGTCCGAGAGCGCCTCGAGCCGCTTGAAGAGCGCGTTCTTCTTCCGCTCGCCCTTGCCCGCGGCCGGCGACGGCGGCGGCGACGTCTTCGACGGCGGCGGCGGCGACCGCCGCCGCGCCGCGTCGGCCGGCGCCGCGGCGGCGGGCGGCGACGCGGCGGCGGGCGGCGACGCGTCGGGCGACGGGCCCGGCGGCGGCGGCGCGTCCGCGGCCTCGGCCTCCTCGTTGAACACGTCGAGCCGGACCTCGGGCTCCGCGCGCCGCCGCCGCGCGGCGGCCATCGACGAGAACATGCTCTTCGACGACGCGCTCAGGCTCTTCGACGACGCGCTCATGCTCTTGGACGCGCTGCTTGCCGCGGCCGCCGACGCCTTGGAGGCGGAGGCGGAGAGCGCGCGCGCCTTCTCTCGCGCACGCTCGGCGTAGCTCAGTTTCTTGGGAGGCGCCTTGACGGCGAACGAGGTACCGCCCATCGTGTCCGACATCGTCGATTCACGCGGCACGCCTCGGCTCCATGGTCTCGCAACAGGTGAGAATTGTTGGCCTCAAGCAGCATTCAACATCGTGCCTTGAGGCTGCCCAAGTTACGATGCTTTCTCGATGCCCACACCAGCCTTTGCGATGACGCTTCGCCTCGTCGCATGCCTGGCGACGTTAACCAGCGGCCGCGACGACGCGACGCGCTTCGGCACGACGAATGCGGACGGCATCGAGCTCTGGGAGCGGACGCAGCGGCGCTACTACCCGGGCCGCGCCCACGGCGGCGAGCCCATCGCGTGCCCGCCGGGCCACTGGCGCCGCGGCGAGAGCCGCGGCGCCTTCGCGGAGCGCGTGCTGCGCATCGCCTTCGCGACGCGGCGGTCGCCGGCCGCGGCGCTCGAGATCGGGCCCTGCAACAATCCGACGCCGCTGCCCCCGGACATCGTGCAGCGCGTCGACTTCGTGGACGTGCCCGAGTACTACGAGGCGCCGAACTGCGCGCGCTTCGACGCCAACGACACGGAGATCCCCTACCGGCCGCGCTACCTCGACGACGCGCAGGCGCTGGCCAAGGCGCGCGACCGGCGTTTTAAACTTGCCGTCCCGATGCTTGTCGCCTCAGGTGCCCGACGCGTCCTACGACGTGCTGCTCGCCTGCCACGTGCTCGAGCACCTGCCGCGGCCCCTCGTCGCGCTCGCGAACTGGCTGCGCGTTTTGCGCCACGGGGGGCTGCTCGTCCTCGTGCTGCCGGACCCCTGCGCGCGCCGGCGTCCCGTGATGTCGACCGGGAAAACGACGTGCTCGGTAGGCGAGCGCACGCTCATGGACCGCTACCGCCTCGCGCACCCGGGCTCGCACCACGTCCGCGACTTCTGGAACCGCGCGCCGGAGCTCGTCAAGCCGCCGCCGGAGCACGCCATGGAGATGGCGCTGTCGACCTACCGGCTCCTCGAGCTGCTCCACATCCTCAAGGAGCCGTCGCTCGCGGGCACGGGCGCGCTCGAGGAGGTCCGGGGCCGCCTCGCGCTCCCCGCGGCGACGACCTGGGACGAGCTCCGCAGCATGCGGCTCCACCTCATCGGCCACAAGGACCGCGAGGGCCACGTCCACGTCTGGTCGCGGAGGACGCTCAAGGACATGCTCCGCGCCGCGGAGCGGCTGCTCGCGGCCGTCGCGCTCGTCGCGGAGACGGCCGCGTCGCAGCCCGCGGGCGCGCGGCGCTTCCAGGAGTACCGCGCGGTCCTCGCCAAGGGCGCCGGCGACGCGGCCGACGTGTTTCGGGACCTCTTCGCGAAGCGCTGGTGTTTGCGAGCGAACGCGTCCTACGTCCGCGCCGCGCGCCACGCGTCGCCGATCCTTCTGGGGGACATCGACGTCGACGAGCCGGACCCGGCCTTCCGCGGGTCCACGCCCGTCGTCTGCACGCACCTCGTCCGCGCGGTCCGCACCTGGGAGGCGTGCGCGCCCGCCGCGACCAAGGCCGACCGCCGGGACTGCCTCCGCCGCGCCGCGGAGCACACGGCCTATCTCGCCGCGCGGACGGAGCAGCTCCAGGGGGTGGGATGAGCGCATGTTGAGCTTCAAGTGAAGTGATAAGCTGACTTTGAGGAAATTCGCGAGGCGATGCGGTGACCTCGTCTCTAGCCTCTGCGGCTCCACCAAGGACAGCCGAACCCCGGTCTAGCCTCTGCGGCTCCACCAAGGACAGCCGACACCAAAAGCAACACATAATGGACCACGAGCCGTGGGCCGCGGACCTCGCGGCCTCCTCGGCCATGGAGATGGACGCCGCGGACCCGGGTCAGCAGCCGCCGCTGCGCGCTCCCCCGCTCCCGACGCCGCTCCAGCCGCCGGCGCCGCGCCGCAGCGGCCGCGAGGTCAAGTCCACGGGCGTGTGGATCGACGGCTTCTACGTCAAGAAGTCGAACATGTACGACCTCGAGGGCGGCGAGCGGTCCGTCTGGGACCAGGAGCTCGGCGGCGAGCGGACCTGGGAGGGCGCGGCGGCGGCCCCGGCGCCCCCCCGCGCGGCGGCGCCGGCGGCCGCGCCGCGCGCGCCGCGGCCCGCGCGCGAGCCGACGCCGCAGGAGAAGCGGCGCGCGGCGCACGCGGCGGCGCTGCGCGAGGCCAAGGCCGGCGCCGTCGGGCGGCGCGCGCGGTTCCTCCTGGAGCACGAGGCCCTCTTCCGGCCCTTCAACGGGAGCGTCGGCTGGTGCGCGGCGGCCGCGGCGGCCGGCCCGCGCGCCGTCGTGCCGGCCTTCGAGCGGACGCCGGCGTACGTGCGCGCGGACATGCGGGCCTACCAGCTCGAGGGCCTGCGCTTCCTCGCGCAGACCTACGAGGACGGCGTGTCGGCGATCCTCGCCGACGAGATGGGCCTCGGCAAGACGCTCCAGACGCTGAGCTTCATCTCGTACCTGCTCCGCGAGCGCAAGGTCTCGGGCCCGTTCCTCGTCATCTGCCCGCTGAGCGTGCTGAGCTCCTGGCTCGTCGAGGCGTCCAAGTTCTGCCCCGAGCTCCGCGCCGTGAAGCTCCACAGCGCCGACGCCGCGGAGCGCGACCGGCTCAAGGCGACGCTCAAGGACGTCGACAGCTACGACCTCGTCGTGACGACGTTCGAGATGGCCAAGAGCCAGTCCATGCAGTCCGTGCTCGGGGGCCAGATGTGGTGGCGCTACGTGATCCTGGACGAGGGCCACATCATCAAAAACGAGGCGAGCGACATCAGCAAGGCCGTGCGCCGCTTCCACTTCGAGCACGCGCTGCTGCTGACGGGCACGCCGCTCCAGAACGACCTCCACGAGCTCTGGGCGCTGCTGAACTTCCTCTTCCCCGACGTCTTCCCGGAGAGCGCGGCCTTCGACGCGGCCTTCGACCGCGGCGGCGGCGCGGCGGGCGACGGGTCGCAGCTCCGGCGCGCGAACGAGATGATGGCCGCGCTCATGAAGCGCCGCGTGAAGCAGGAGGTCGAGCAGCGCCTGCCGCCGAAGATCGAGACGAAGATCCTCTGCCCGCTCGCGCCGTGCCAGCGCTGGTGGTACAAGCGGCTCCTGCTCCGCCAGAGCCAGCTCCTCGCGGAGCTCGAGAGCGACGCCAAGGACGCGGGCGCGGGCGCCGCGTCGGGCGGCTGGAAGAAGCTCCAGAGCCTGCTGATGCAGCTCCGCAAGTGCTGCAACCACCCCTACCTCTTCGAGGGCGCGGACCCGGACCCGGGCGTCACGGACGACGCGCTCGTCGAGGCGAGCGGCAAGCTCCACGTCCTCGACCGCCTGCTCACGAAGCTCAAGGCCAAGGGCCACCGCTGCGTCTTGTTTTCCCAGTTCACGTCGACGCTCGACCTCCTCGACGACGTCCTGCGCTACCGCGGCTACGAGTTCTCGCGCCTCGACGGCTCGACGAACCGCGTGCAGCGCACGGTCGACATCCAGGCCTTCAACGCGCCGGGCAGCGGCGTCTTCCTCTTCCTCATGTCGACGCGCGCCGGCGGCCTGGGCGTCAACCTGCAGACCGCGGACACGTGCATCCTCTTCGACAGCGACTGGAATCCCCAGGCGGACGCCCAAGCGATGGCGCGCGTGCACCGCATCGGCCAGACGAAGCCCGTCCACGTCTACCGTTTGGTGACCAAGGGCACCGTCGAGGAGCGCATCGTCCAGCGCGCGGAGAAGAAGCTGTATCTCGACTCCATGGTGAACCGCGACGGCGCGCGCGTCGCGGCCGCGCAGGACGGCGCCGCGGCGGCCGACGCGGCGGACGGCGACGCGCCGACGGGCTCGGAGCTCCTGGCGAGCCTGACGTTCGGGGCCCACGCCATCGTCAACGGCACGGACGCGGACCGGCCGCTGAGCGACGCGGAGCTCGACGCGATCATCGACCGCACGCGGACGGCCGACACGTCGCTCGGCGACGTGCTCTCCGGCGGCGCGGCCCACTCGGCCGAGGGCTTCGAGTCCCAGGCCCAGGCCGTGTCGCTCCACAGCCTCGAGGGCGAGGACTTTTCCGAGAAGGCCGCGGCGACGGCGACGCTCGGCGACCTCGGCCGCGAGTTCGCCGAGGTCCAGAAGCGCGCGCGGAAGAAGCGGACGACGACGCAGCACGTCGTCGGCGTCGGCAACGTCGAGGTGCTCACGTCCGAGTACGGCGACGGCGCCGGGGGCTTCTCCGCGGCCAAGGCCGAGGAGCCCAAGGCCAAGGACGTCGGCGCGGTCCGCTGGGAGGCGGCGGCGTCGCGCGCGGCGCTCGAGGCCATCGGCGGCCGCCAGATCGCGGGCCGCGACTACGACCACGAGTGCGAATGTTTGGCCTGCGGCGACGGCGGCGACATCGTCATGTGCGACCAGTGCCCGACGTCGTGGCACGTCCCCTGTTTAGCCGCGCTGAACGCGAAGATGCCCACGAAGATGCAGTGGGGCTGCCCGCACCACTCGTGCCTGACCTGCGGCCGCAAGGCCGGCGCCGCCGGCGGCTTGCTCTTCCGCTGCATGCGCTGCCCGCGGACCTTCTGCGAGGACCACCTCGTGCCGACGGCGACGATCGTCGGCAAGTGCCAGCGCTTCATCAAGCTCGGCCAGAACCACCCGAAGCAGGCCTGCTTCATCCTGTGCTCCAAGGACTGTTTGGACTTCGCCGTGGCGCGCGGCGAGGTGCCGGCGTCCGTGGGCTACGGCACCGCGGGCAGCATCCACGCGGCCGCGGGCCTGGACACGACCGCGGCCGCGAAAACGTCGAAGCGGTGTCTCCCCGCGCACGACGAGCCCGAGGCGAAGAAGCCCAAGCTCGAGCCGCCGCCGGCCATGCGCCTCGACGAGCGCAAGGACTGGGACCGTCTGGACGCGGAGACGCAGGACCGGCTCAACGTCGTCCTGCTCAAGAAGCGGTGGACCGTCGGCGGCGCGTCGCCCCACTTCGTGCTCCGCGCGTCGCGCGTGCGCACGGGCGCGGCGACGGCCCTCGACGCGCTCCACGCGGCCCTCTTCGTCGACGACGCGCCGCGCGACGCGGCGCGGCCCTGGAGCCCCGCGGACGTCGCGGCGGACATCGCCGCGCGCTGGAACGGGCCCACGGTCAAGTCGAACGCGTCCAAGGGCGTCAAGCGCGAGAAGGCCGCGGCGATCTACCTGCGCCTCGTGCGCACCTTCGAGGCCTGGAAGCAGTACGAGGTCGACGCGCTGCTCTACGCCGCCCAGGTCGTGAAGCTCGTCAAGCCGTCGAAGGCGCTCCCGACGCGCGCCGAGGACATCCTCAACACCATCGGCGGCAAGGCCAAGCGCCACGCCCTGGCCCACTTCTTCACCTGGCCCCGGCAGAACTCCTTGTGGCTCGTCTCGCTCACGCCGCCCGCCGTTCGCGCCGAGAAGCCGCCGCCCGCGCCGCCCGCGCCGCCGCGCAAGGAGGGCCTGCGCGCGGCCAAGCCCGCCGCCAAAAAACCGCCGCCGAAGCAGAAGGCCCGGCCGCCGCCGGCCAAGGTCGTCGGCGGCTTCGACGACGGCGGCTTCAGCACGCTCGACCTCGCGCCGAACGCGATCCTCGACCACTACCCGCTCCTCGCGCCCTTCGTCGAGGTCGTCGAGCGCGGCACGCCCGCCGCCGCGGGGCCCAAGCGCGGCCGCCGCGGCGGCGGCGACGACGACGTCGCGCCGGACACGATCGTGCCGCGCGTGCCGGACCCGCCGCCGCGGTCCAAGGCCAAGGCCAAGGACGAGAAGAAGCCCGCGGCGAAGAAGAAGAAGAAGAAGGCGCCGAAGACGAGCGCCGCGGCCGAGTGGGCCCGCGGCAACGGCCTCCTCTGAAACCACCTGCACACACGCGCCCCTTTTAACATCATTCGCTAGATCTGGATCTGGAACACGCTCCCGGGACCGTGGCCCGCCGGCACGACGACCTGGAGGCTCTGGCCGCTGGGCAAGACGACGGCGATCTGCTGGCCGGGCGCCGCGTTCGGCGGCACCGTCACGTTCATGGTCTGCTGGACGGGCGTCGCGACGGGCACGCTGTTCACGACGACGGGCGCGGTCTCGAGCTCGCGCTTCTTGACGGCGATCTTCTCCATCGTGATCGCGATCTGCTTCTGGAGCCGCTGGTGCTCGGCGGTCACGCCGTTCATGTCGCCGACGGCGTACTTGTCAAACGTCTTCTTGCCCCACTCTTCCTTGTAGCTCGAGATCTTCGTCTCCAGCATTGCGATCTCGGCCTTGAGCTTGAGCTTGTGCGCCTCGTCGCCGACCTTCTTCGCGCCGTCATTTAACGACTTCATCCAACTCGACATGATGGATGCGCGCGGCGGCTGCGGAGAGCGCGGGGCTGCTTCAGATGGCTGCGGACGTCTGCGGCGGCGGCGGCGGAGAGCGCGGGGCTGCTTCCCAAGTGGTCAAGTTTCCCGGAAACATGATTTCAACTTAACGACCGTCTGACAGCGCTCTCGGATTTCGCCTCGGAGGGCCTCCGCTCCTCGGACTTCGCCTCGGACGGTTCCTCGGACTTCGCCTCGGGCGGCCTCCGCTCGTCGTCCGGCCTCCGCTCCTCGTCGTCGTCGGCGGGCGCGGCCGCCGGCTGTGGCCGGACCTCCTCGGACTTCTCCTCGGCGTCCAGGAGGAGCGGCGACGAGCGGATCTCCGCGGGCGGCCGCTTCGGGACCATGGGCGTGCGCGTGCCGTCGCCGTCGTCGCCCGCGCTGCTGCAGCAGCTGCTGCGGAGCTCGACGGCGGGCGCGCAGTGCGTCTCGCAGGTCGCCGCGCAGGCGGCGGCGCAGCGCTCGCCGTAGCGCTCCGGCGGCGGGTCGCGGCGGACGCGCCTGAACGAGCCGAGGAGGAACCAGAACGACGCCTTCTCGCCCGTCGGCGCCCAGAAGCCCTCGGCCGTCCGCGCGAGGGGCAGCGGCTCGCAGTGGCCGCGGGACGCGCAGAGCTGGGCCGCGTGGCGCGCGAGCGCGCAGCGCAGCGGCACGCCGAAGGCCGCCGCGGCCGCGGCGAGGAGCGCCGCGGGCCGCGCGGGGCCGTCGCCGGGCCGCTCGAAGAGGAGCGCCTGGCCCGCGGCCGCGAGCGCCGCGGCGGCGCAGTAGGACGCCGCGGAAGCGAGCTGCGCGCCGTCGAGGCGGTAGACGCCCTTGCGGTGCCTCCTCGCGACGACGAGCAGCGAGGCGACGAGGAGGAGCTCGGACGCCCAGAGCGGCGCGAGCACCGCGCCGATTTTGGCGCGCGACCCCGTCCCGGAGAGCGCGCGCACGGCGCAGGAGAGCGCGAGCCAGTGCAGGAGCTGGAACGTCGCGCCGAGCCGGCCGCTCCACTTGTAGGGGCCCGGGCGCACGCGCGCGGCCTCGACCTCGCGCCACGCCGGGTCGCTCGACCGGCCCTTGAGCAGGCCCGCGGCGAGCACGGCGCCGGACTGGAGGACCCACGCGCAGACGCAGCTCCGCCGCAGCATGCGCCGCCGCGCGCGCCAACGCGGGTCGACCGCGAGCGCGACGAAGACCTGCGCCGCGACGACGAGCGCGAGCGCGGGCACGGACGCGACGACGCCGACGACGCCGCGCCGCGCGAGCGGCAGCGCGTCCTCGTGGATGACCGTCGCCGCGGCGTCGCCCCGCTGCAGCGCGCCGTAGCCGAACGGCGCGGGCTGCACGAGCCGCAGCGTCGCGACGCGCGACAGGAACCGCCACTGCGTCAGCGCCGCGACGGCCGACGCGGCGAAGAGCGGGGCCAGCGCGAGCCGCCAGGGGATGGCCGCGACGCCGGCGACGCGCGCCGCGACGAGGAGCGCCGCGAGCACGTGCGCGTCGACGAAGGCCGCGGCGCCGCCGGCGACGAGGCGCACGAGCGTGGCCGTGGCGTCGTCGGGACGGCGGAGCATCGATGCGGAGCAGTAGTTGTGTCGTGTCGAGAAGCCGCTTAACGTCTATGCAACAGCGCAACTAGGTCGGGCTCGAAGCCTCATCGTGACGACTGCTCGAGGGCAACATCGAGGCAACGAAGTGGTGTTTCCCAGCAATAAATTGAGCTGCCTTGTAACCGAGGGCTGCCTCGAGCTCTCTGAGCGGCGGCGTGCGCGCGCGCGCGCGAGAAGAGCGGTGGCCGTGCTTTCGGACGCGGGGCACACAAAGAGTCGTCGAGGAAGATCAGGTCCACAAGCAACATGACGCCGACGAAGTCCCCGCCCGAGACGCCCATCAAAAGCGGCGAGTTCGTCTTCGACGACGACGGCATGGGCGAGATCGTCAACGTCGTCACGCTGAAGCCGAGCCGCAGGGCAAAGGAGGCGCTGAGGGCGTCGCGCCGCCGCACGGACGCCGCCGCGTTCCGCGAGCACGTCAAGACGCTGGGGCTGCGGCCGACGCTCCACGACGGCGCGCTCGAGGACATCGACCTCGAGAAGCTCGTCAAGCAGATGGAGCGCGCCGAGAACCGCGCGGCCGCGTCGCGCGCGAACGCCCGGCGAAACCACCGCGCGTGGTAGCGACCGCGCGGCCGCGAAACCGCCACGCGCGACCGCCCTTCCCGGCGCGCGACATTCGGTAGTAAGGGGCGTTATTGTCCCAGTCGGTAGCAAGAGGCGGTATGCCTTCCGGAGCCTCGGCGGCCCGCGGAGGGCATGTAAGACGCGGCCCGGGATCCGCAAAACCCGGACTTGCCGGCAATTGCAAGACGCGGATCCGCGAAACCCGCCCTTCCCGCGCGACAAATGCGGTAGTAAGGGGCGTTATTCCTTCCTCCTCGGCGGCGGAGGGCCCAGATCCTCGGTCGGTGCTTCCTTGCTTCTTGGTTTTCGGGGGCCGCGGCGTCGGTCGCCGGCCGCTCAGCCCGGCGGGTTGCCGCTCGCCATGGCCGCGAGCGCCGCGTTGATGAACTCCTCGTTGCCCGCGGCGGCGTCGGGCCCGTAGCCCGGCGCGTAGGACGCGCCCGGCTGCGCCGCGACGCCGCCCTCGGCGCCGCCCGCGCCCGGCGGCATGCCGACCTGGCCGAGCATGCCCGCGGCCGCGTACTGCGCGGGCAGCGTGGGCCCCGTGCCCGGCAGCGCGCCGACGACGTAGTTGTTGGGGTGGCAGATCTTGAGCTGGCAGCCCATGCACGTGATGCCGCTGAGGCCGAGCGACGTCGTCGCCGCCTCGACGGTGCTGAGCTCGACGAAGGCGAACTTCTTGTCCGGGCTCACCCACGAGCTCACGACGACCTCGTCGACGCCCGCGGGGATGGCGCCGCAGGCCCGGAGCGCCTCGTTGAGGAAGATGCGGAGCTGCTCGCTGTCGAAGGTCTGCGGCAGGTTGCCGACGTAGAGCCGCCGCTCCTTGCGCGTCGCCGGGTTCGACGGCATCTGCGACGCCGGCGTGTGCTCGACCCAGCGGAAGCCGTCCCAGAACTTGCCCGACTTCTGCGCGGGCTGGATCTCGCCCGCGGCGATGGCCGCCGCCTCGCGCTTCTTCCGCGCCTTGGCCTCGGCCATCTGGCGCCGCACGGCCGGCGGCGGCGACCACGACAGGCTCCGCGACTTGGACGAGTCGTCGCGCTTCTCCGGCTTCGGCGGCTTCTCCTCGCGGCGCGCGGGCCGGCCCCGGTCATCGTCGCGCCCGCGGCGGTGGCGGTCCCGCGACCGCGAGCGCCTGCGCTCGTCGCGGCGCCGCTCGTCGCGGCGGTCGTCGCGCGGCCTCTCGCCGCGGCGGTCGCGGCGGTCACGGGAACGAGAGCGGCGGCTGCGCTCGTAGCCGCGATCGTCGCGGCGTCTGTCGTCTCGCCGGTCGTCTCGCCGCCTGTCGTCGCGGTCGCGCGGCCGATGGTCGCGCTCATCGCGCGGCCTCGAGCGCTCGCGCGGTCGATCTCCGTTACGGTCCATTTGACTTCCGCTTCGGCTTCGGGTCGCTTGATCGAGAGGCGAGACTCGCGAGAATCGGTGATAGTGCGTCTCTCAGCTGACTTCGCGCGTCTCTCAGCTGATTTCGCGCGTCTCTCAGACGCCAGCAACCTCCGTTTGATCACGGAGTTGGCGCCCAGCTCGCCGACGCCGATGGCCTCGGCTGCTCCTCGCGGCAACATCTCGGCATCTTTGCCAAAGTGCCGCGCCAAGGAAGCGATGTCAACAGCATATTGAGCCACTTCCGACCGCGTAGACCTCTGCCCACCCGCGGCGCTGGCTTGAAACTCGACCCAAACGATTAGCAATGGCGCGTCGAGCGCTGCTGCTCGTGGCGGCGACGCATGCGCTCCTGAAAATGCCACAACGACACACGCGATGCACGCGCCGTTTCGTTTTAGAGCAACCCCAACAAAAGGCCCCCATCGCCTCCCCGGAGGCGGTCGAGCAAGCGCGGAACACGGACATCGTCGCCGTCGCGGAGCACCTGGGCCTCGAGCTCGAGACGCGCGGCGCCGCGACGTGGGCGCTCTGCCCGTTCCACGACGAGCGCACGGCCTCCTTCTCCCTCAACAGCGAGCGGGGCCTCTACAAGTGCTTCGGCTGCGGCGCGGGCGGCGACGTCATCAAGCTCTGGCGCGAGCTGCGGCCCGACGCGACGTTCCCGGAGGCCGTCGCGGGCATCTGCGCCGTCGGCGGCGGCGCGGCGCCGCGCGAGAAGCCCGCGGCGCCGTCGCCCGAGGAGACCGCGTCCGACGTCGAGGCCATGCGGCGCGCCGTCGCGGCGGCGGCGGCCTTCTACGCGGCCCAGCTCGCGGAGCGGGGCGGCGGCGCGGGCGGCGCGCGCCAGTACCTCGCGCGCCGCGGCATCCGCGCGGCGACGGCCGCGAAGTTCGGCGTCGGCTTCTCGCCGCCGGGCGGCGACCGGTCCGCGCTCCTCGCGGGCGCCCGCGGGAAATTCGACCGCGACGACCTCGCGGCCGCGGGCGTGCTCTACCCGCGGCGCGACCCGGCGGACCGCCGCGTCTGGGACCGCTTCGCGGGCAAGCTCGTGCTGCCGATCCGCGACGCGTCCGGCGCCTGCTGCGGCTTCGGGTCGCGCCACGTCGACGAGGCGTCGGCGCGGGGCCCCAAGTACGTCAACTCGCCGGCGACGCCCCTCTTCCTCAAGCGCGCGTGCCTCTTCGGCCTCGACGTCGCGAAGCGCGCGATCGCGGACCGCGACGAGGCCATCATCGTCGAGGGCTACTTCGACGTCCTCGCGCTCCACGACGTCGGCGTCGAGCACGTCGTCGCGAGCCTCGGCGTCGGCATCTCGCCCGAGCAGCTCGAGCGCGCCGCGCGCTTCTCGCCGAGCCGCCGCGTCGTCCTCTGCCTCGACGGCGACGCCGCGGGCGCCGCGGCCGTGCGCCGCCTCTGCGAGCAGGTCCTCCCGAAGCTCAGCCGCGACGCCGGCGTCGACGCCTGCGTCGCCTTCATGCCCGGCGGCGCCAAGGACGCCTCGGACTTCATCGCGGGCCGCCGCGCCGCGGGCGCGGACGACGCGGCCATCGCGGACGAGATCCGCGCCGTCGCCGACGACGCGACGCCCTGGCTCGAGCACGAGACCTGCGTCGTCGACGGTGGTCCCGGGGACGCGCCATAATGGGCTTACGCGAGCACGCCTGCTTACGCCGCGGTATCGCCGTCGTCGTCGCTCTCACAATGGCTTACGCGCGTATCTGCTCAGGTCGCGGTATCGTCGTCGCTCTCGCCGGAGTCCCAGTCGCTCGCGAGGATCGCCTCGATGCGCTCCTTCTCGGCGATCGCGGCGTCGATGGGCTCGTCGAGGTAGCCGTCCCAGAGGACCTCGACGTCCGACGGCGGGTCGTCGTAGCGGAGCGCGTCGTCCTCGAAGCCGTACTTGTCGCACCAGGGCTCGAGCCGTCGCGCGCGCGCGGCGTCGTACCTGCGGCCGAAGCGCTCGAGGTCCTCGGGGTCGTCCTCGCCGTAGGCGTGGCGCTCGAACTCGGGCTTGGAGCGCCAGAGGTTGAGGTCGCGTTGGATTTCCTCCGTGTTCATGGCCGACCGCGGCGGCGCGGCGTTGAGCGCGCGGCTCCGCGTCATCTCCCGGCGGACGGCCGGCGCCTCGCACGCGGCGGCCGCGGCGTCGCGCTCGGCGCCCGCGGGCACGCCGCGCACGATGCGCTTCGCCCGCTTCGCCGCCGTCGGCGCGCCCATCCACCGGAGCACGCACTCGGCCTCCGTGTCCGCGGCGTGGGCCGCGAGGTGCGTGAGGAGGAACGCGTCGCGGTCGTAGCTCATGTGCGACATGCAGGTCTTCGACCGCAGGTCGCCGTCCATCGCTTCGGCCCCTTCGGACACGAGCGCGGAGAGCATCCAGGCCCGGGCCCACTCCTGGATCACGGGCAGCCAGCAGTGGACCGCGTCGACGGCGGCGACGCCCGGCGGCGACGCGCGGTCCGCGCGGCCCAGGTAGCGCATGTCCTGCGGGTCGAGGACCTTCTTCGCGCGCGCGGCCGTGTCCGGGTCCGACGAGCGGCGGGCCTCCAGATGCTTCGCCATGATCGCGGCCCAGGGCGTTCCCGCCGCGACGGAGAGCCGCACGAGCGCGTGCGTCGCGACGCCGTCGCGCTTGTCGCGCGGCTTGAGGCTCCGGATGCGCGACCGCGCCGCGGCGCCGAGCGCCTCGATCGCGCGGCCAGGTTCGCCGAGCGCCTCGAGCTCGCGGCTCGCCTGGAACTCGAGGTCCGCGAGCCGGGCCCACATGCTCGCGCGGTCCTCGGCGCACGTCCGGTGGCGCGGGCACATCTCGGCGGCCTCGCGGACCGCGGCCGCGTTCCCGGCGGCCTTCTTGAAGGCCTGCCGCGCGGCGAGGCGCGCGGCCTTGAGCGCGTCGCCTCGCAGCGTCGCCGCCGCCCGGTCCTCGTCCAGCGCGCGCCGCGCGGCCCCCGCCGCGACGGCGCGCGGGCTCGCCGGCGCCGCGTCGCGGAGGATCGCGTCGTAGCGGGCCTCGTCGAGGGCCGCGTCCGTCGCCGCCGCCGCGGCGTCCTCGCACGCGCCGACGGCGACGGCGAGCGCCTCGAGCGCCGCGCGCGCGGGGTGCAGGAACGCGCCCGTCGTCGTCTCGGCGACGCGGCGGTAGCGGAGCGACCGCGCGCCCTTGGTCGGCTTGCGCTCGTAGAGCCCGCGGGTGCCCTCGGGCTCCGCGTAGTCGCACTCGAGCACGACCGCGAGGCCCTCGACCGCCCCGGGGATCTCGAGCAAAGCCGGCGTGGCGACGGACCGGAGCGCGTTCGCGGCGAGGAGGCTCCGCTGCTCCGGGTGCTGGTCGACGCCCAAGTCCGCGGGGCAGCCCGGCGCGCTGAAGAGGAACGGGACGGCGAGCGGCGCCAGGCGCGCGCCCTCCGCGGGGCCCAGGAGCCGCGCGACGCCCTCGAGGAGCCAGAGCGCCTTGTCGACGGTGCCCGGCGCGCAGTCGACGAGCGCGTGCGCGATGGCCGCCGCGACGCACGGCTGCGCGAACGCGTCGCGCGCGTCGCGGAGCGCGCGGCCCTCGAGCTTCCGCGCCTTGTGCGCCAGAATGTCGAGGAGCTGGCGCGCGCAGGCCTCGAGCGTCCGCATGTCCGAGATGATCCGCGGCCGCGCGCGCGCGGCGCTGTCCTGGCGGAGCACGTCGACGACGTGGCCGCAGAGCCGCCCGTCGACGAGCGACGAGCACACGACCGTCGCGACCGTTGTCAGAGACAGGTGGCAGAGCAGGGGCACGGCCTCGGGCTTGCGCAGGAGCGCGGCGGCGGCGACGTCGAAGGAGCAGATGTGGTGCAGGAGCCGCGCGCCGAGCCGCTGCTCCTCGAAGGAGAGCGCGCCGCGCGCGAGCGACAGCGCGACGTCCAGGAAGCCGCCGTCTAAAAGGCGCTTTGCGACGGCCGGGCCCTTGGCGTGCTGCCAGAGGTCCTGGGCGAGGAGCGTCCCGAGGATCGCGGCGGCGTAGTACCTGCGCGCGGCGACGTTGCGCGAGGCGAAACGAAGGACGCCGGGGAGGTTACGGCACGAAATAGTTCTGGCCCGCGTCGAGGAACTCTCTGAACGTGTGATAGCGGAGGATTTCCAGGCAGGTCGTGTCGAGGCCCACGTCGAGCCACTTGATCAGCGCGTCGAGCTGGTGGGTCTGGTCGTTCGTCATACGCCAGAGCGCCGAGAAGCAGAAGACGAGCTCGTCTTCGCACTCGTCTATCTCGTCTTCGATGTTGTCGCTCCAGAGCCGGTAGACGAAGCTCGGCAGCGCCCGAATGTAGTCGGGGATCATGGCCGGCTGCAGCGAATGCCAGCAGAGGCCGTCGGGATCACCGATTTCGAGGTCGCTGTAGACGGGCGGCTCCCGCGGCTCGGGCCAGATCTCGAGCCGTACCGCGAGCAGCAGCTCGTCGCGCCAGCGGCAAGTCTGGCGGCCACTCCACGGCCGCGGCAGGATCCGCCCGCCGACGCTCCGCGCGTACGCGGCGCAGAGGCCTTCCCAGAGGGCCGACGCCCGCGAGGCGGCGGCGCGGTCCGTAGCGACGACGGACGCGAGCAGGAAGGCGGCGCGGTCCGCAGTGTAGGACGCCGCGCAGTCGCACGCGACCGTCTCCCCGCCGCAGCACGCGAGGATGACGGGTATTGGGAGATGTCCAAAGCTGGGGGTCGAAATGTCGCCCTTCGTCGCCAGCGCCGCGTCGAGCCGACCCTCGAGCGCGCGCTGTCGCGCTACCGGTCCAGGCGCCCACGGCACATCGTCGACTTCCTCTGAATCCATTTGCTCCGACAGGATCTCTCACTGCTCGGAGCTTGTTGCCATGCGCGCTTCGCGAATCGGCAAGTGAGAAGCATTGACCTCGAATCCAGGAAGTTGAAGTCGGTTGGACGGTATGATCATGGTCATGGGCAGCGTCTGATCAGGACGGTAGACGCGTGCTGCTGCATCTACACTTCTTAAAACGATGACGGCCGCCGCGGTGCAGAGCGCCCAGCCGGCGGCGCGCCACCAGAAGCCGTCGAAGACCCACAACTCGTTCCAGGTGCGGCTGCGGAACATGTGCCGGTCCCTCGAGGGCTTCGACTGGTTCGAGAAGATGCCGTCGAGCGCCGTGCTCACGGACGACCCGACGAACGAGAAGCTCGTGCTCTTCGTCGAGCTGTCCGGCGGCTCCGTCGTCGCCGTCGACGAGCGGGCCGGCGCCGAGGCCTTCGACGTCGGCGAGCTCCAGGTGATCCTGAGCGAGCTCGAGGCGCACGACGCCGACGACGCGGCCAAGGCGGGCCCCGGCGAGACGTCGACGGTGCGGCTCACGACCGCGCGCCAGAGCAGCCACCGCTGGCTGCCGACGCGGACCGTGGCGGAGTACGTCCTGCGGCGCGACGCGACGCTCGCGTCGCTCGTGCGCGTGCTCCGGGGCCAGACCGACGGGTCCGAGCACGTCGGCGCCAAGGTGCCCGTGTCGGCCTGGGGCGGCGCCGACGAGCCCGCGGCGGCCGCGGGCGACCTCGGCGACCTCGCGGCGGCCGCCGCGGCGGCGGACGAGGACGGCAGCCGGCGGAGCGGCTCGAGCCGGTCCCGCGCGCCCGTCGCGAAGAAGGGCAAGAAGCGGAAGAAGAAGAAGGCGGGCCCGGACGCGGCCTTCGGCATGGACGCGGCCGCGGCCTGGGTCGACGGCGCGCTCGGCGGCGACCCGGCGGCGCGGCCCGCGCCCCCCGCGAGCCCGGACGCGCGCAAGTTCCCCGCCGCGGGCACGGGCGCCGCGGCGGCCGCCGCCGCGCGGCGGCGCCGCGAGGCCGCCGCGGAGGACGCGCCGGCCCTCGGCCGGAGCCGGTCGCGCACGCTCATCGCCTTCGGCGGGGGCACGACGACGACGGCGCGGCTCGGGAGCCGGACGTCGCTCCTGAGCGCGTCGACGCTCCACGGCATCGAGAACGGCCTCGTCGAGATCTCGACGCAGCACCGAGCCATGGCGCGCCTCAGCGCCTTCTTCGGCGGCGCGACGGACCGCTACGAGTGCAGCTGGCCCCACACGCCCGGCGCGCGCGTCTGCGAGGGCATCTACCGGGACACGATCCACCAGCACCACGTGCGGCGCGAGCTCGGCGGCCAGCGCGTGACGGCCAAGGCCGGCGAGGCCCACGGCGGCGAGCCGCCGAGCGGGCAAATCGACACGGTCTACGCCAACGGCTGGGTCACGTCCGAGGGCCCGCCCGCGAACCCCCGGGGCCACCGCGCGTGCGGCACGTCGTGCTCCGGGCCCGTCGTCTTCCGCGAGTGCGCGAAGCACCACCGCCACCTCAAGACGCGGGGCCGCATGGCGACGGTGCGCGTCGTGCCCGTCTACGACGACCCGACGGGCGCCGTCGTTCACCACGCGGGCGCCGTCGCGGACTGGTTCGCGCCGCACGTGTCCTTCGCGCGCGGCGCGCGGCCCGGCGAGCACGTGCTGCCCGGCGACGGCGAGCAGGAGGGCGTCCAGGTCGTCTGCTTCACGGGCGCCCAGCTCTCCGTCAAGGCCGGGGGCAGCGCGCTGCGGGGCTACGCCCAGACGAGCCACGAGAAGCCCGTCGTCCTGCTGCCGAAGCACATCAAGTTCGACCTCGGGCCCGAGGAGCAGGCCACGGGCATGGTCGGCACGGTCCACGCGACGCAGAAGGTCCTCTTCAAGAAGCTGCCCGCGCGGCTCCAGCTCCAGATCTTGGACCAGGACGCGCGGCCCTTGAGCTCGGCCGTCGTCGCGCTCGCCGCCGCGGTCGTGCCGTCGAACCTGAACCCGCTCATCGCGCTCAAGGTCGACAAGGAGCTCCGCGCGCGGAGCCTGCGCCACGCCGACGCCGCGGACCGCTGGTGGGACGCCGAGAACGCGGGCATCGACGTGCCCATCCCCGGGCGCCAGCCCGACGGCGAGCTGCGGGTCTGGGCGCGGCTCGAGGAGGGCATCGCGCTCGGCGAGACGACCAAGGAGGTCAAGGTCGTCGACCCCATGGACTACGGCGGCGACGACGACACGACGCGGCGGCTCATGGGCTTCGGGGACGACCCCCAGGGCGTCGCCGCGGCGCGCGCGTACCTCGCGCGGACGACGCTCGTCCGGTGCGCGATCCCGCTCGCGTACGACGACGAGTCCGCGCCGGGCCCGGCCGTCGCGCGCCTGAAGCTCAGCTTCAAGCGCCCCGCCGTCGCCGTGACGCTGACCATGGTCTACGCGGACACGCTCGACCCCATCGTCCGCGTGCGGCGCGAGGCGCCGGGCAAGTACGTGCCGCTCGAGGACGACGACGCGGAGGCGAACGCGGCCGAGGAGGCGACGCAGACGGCGTCCCTGGCGCGCGCGCAGTCCGCCTTCGGCAAGGCGAGCGCCAAGGCCAAGTGGCGCCTCGCCGCGCGCCTCGCGCTGCGGGCCGGCGGCGCGCCGCCTCCCGACCGCGAGAAGAACGCGGACGCCGACGCGGCGGTTTTGCGCGCGGGCTGGCCCATGCAGAGCCTGTCGCTGCCCAAGCGCCGCGAGGGCGAGGCGAACGCGCCGGCGGGCGTCGTCATCACGGTCACGGACCCGGAGTCGACGGTCGTGCTGCCCCGGGACCTCGTCGTCGGCTACGAGTACGAGAGCGAGAGCGACGACGACGACGTCGACGGCGAGGGCGGCCTGCCGGAGCACGAGCCCGACTCCGACGACGACCTCTGGAAGGACCTGCGAGGCGAGGACCGGCGCGCGACCGTGCGCCTCATCCCCGCGAGCGTCGGCTGGCCCCTGCCGGGCTGGAAGGAGGCCGCGGGCCAGGTCACGCTCCGCTTCCGGAAGCAGCTCGCGACCGTCCGCGTCGTCCTCACGAACGCCGACGACCCGGCGGCGAAGCTGAACTTCGAGGACGTCTTCAAGGAGCTCAAGCTGGGCGCGTCGGTGCTCGCCGACGGCGTCTTCACGGACGCGGGCGTGCAGCTCGCGATCCCGGGCCGGACGCCCGACGCGCGCTGGCCCATGGTCCTGGCGCTCACGGAGGGCGTGTCCTGCAGCCGGGCCCAGGTCGCCAAGCCCGGGTCCCTCGCCTTCGAGGACGTGGACGCGACGAACACGACGGGCGTCGACCCCAAGTGCGCGCTCTGCCACCTCGACGCGCCGCTCCGGTCCGGGTCGACGACGACGCTCCGGCTCACGATCGTGCCGCCGCCCGCGGCCGTGACCGTCGTGCCCCTCGACGCCGTCACGGGCGACGAGCTCGACGGCGGGCCCGACGGCTGGCTCGCGGCGCTCCTGCACGTGAGCGCGCCCCTCGCGGCCGCGTCCGCCGTGTCCGCGTGGGGCGACCTCGCGCGCGCCGCGCGCGAGGCCGCGGCGCTCGAGAAGGGCCGCGTGCGCCTCGTCGTCCACCGCGCCGCGGGCATCCGCTTCCTGGCGACGGCGGCGCCCATGGGCTGGGAGCTCGAGCCCTGCGCGGCCGTGTCGTCGCCGCGCGAGCGCCGCGGCGCGGGCAGCCCGACGTCGCGGTCGCCGCGCGCGTCGCCCCGCGAGGAGATCCTCGTGCCGGCGGACAAGCGCTGGCCCGCCTCGGGCTGGCAGTTCCCGCCGCTGTTCTACGTGCGGCTCCGCAAGCAGGCCGCGCTCATG